GAAAGGGAAAGGGAAAGGGAAAGGGAAAGGGAAAGGGAAAGGGAAAGGGAAAGGGAAAAAAAGAATTGTAGAGGTTCAAAGAACGAAAAGCAGAAAAAGACAAAATTGGGAAATTAATTCCTTAGAGGATGATTATGTTTAAAATTCCTATGGTTTGAGCATACTGGAATCCAGCCATCCTGAGATACTTAGACCCTCTAGTTTTCTGACATGGAGTGATATCTAATAGCTCTAGAAGCATCCTTTACCTTTTATTTTTTGGGGATTAGCCACATAAAATGTATTTGACAAATGCTGATGGAGCAAATGTTTTACTGTGTTTTGTTTTGTTTTTGGAAACAACAATGATGACAACAATACTTATTTAAAATTCCTTCCTAAATGTTCAAAAAGCACTTCAGAGAAAGAAAAACTGTTCTTTCTCTGTTTCTTCCACCACTTTTATTACAATTGATAACACCTACTTTTGGCTTTTAAAGTTGTTCTTTAAGGATGCTTTTAAACATTTTGAAAGCCTCCAAATAAAGAACTAGGAAATCCTGCAAATTGCCACTCTTTATTAATCCTATCATGTGAAATGTAGAAAGGAAATTCTGAAAACCTGCTTCAAATCAGAACCTACTGCAACTGCTTATGAATGTAAAAAAAAAAAATCTTCAGAGGCCCATATAAGTAAGTCCTGATCTGATTCAAACCATCATCTGAATTAGCTGTTGAGTCAGTAGGATTCAAATTAAATAAGATCAAGATGTCTGAATTAGTTCATATCCATTGATCTGGAACTAGGGTGAATAAAAGCATGCTGAATCTTCTAATCAATAGAAGTTAAGCTCAGTCTTTAAATTTAGTAGATCAAGTCTGCTAAGCTAATGAAAAACAAGGTGGGGGAAAAGGTAATGCTTAACATTTTATTTTTAGATTATTCTAATGTCTGATGAAGTTCTACTTACCTTTTTTCATTTCATATCCAAAATAAAACTGTCTGAAAAATAATGATTATAGAAGCCCTTAGTATTTCTAAACTTTTTTAACTAGAATTATAATTACAAGAGGAAAGGTAGGAAATCCTAGGTTGAATATTTGTAGGGGAAAAGTGAGAAATAACTATAATTCAAGGGTTATAAAAGAGAATAACTCACTATCTTTATTCATGCAGATTTCTTTATTTTCTTTTTCTTTTTCCCCCCCTATGGAGCCATTGTTTAGACTGCATGCTGTGGACCCATGAATGAGATCTTATCCAATTTCTTTAGCCTTTTCCACCAAATATAATGTTGGTCTCCACTGGCAGTATAATAGAGTTTTGGTGGGTCGGAGGTTTTCTATGCTCCATGGGATGTTTCCCAAGGGTATGTATTATTTTAAGTGAAGAATTCTACAGGGGAAAAATGCTGATGTTCTGATTTTACAAACCTGAAAACAGGAGAGGGTACATCAAACTAGCCCAAAAATGTATCTTTCTCTTAATGGAAATCTAAAAGATCTGAAGATCTTTTAGAACGAGGTAAAGAGTAAGCCCTTTCTGACACACAGTTTCTATTTTATGCTTGAGGTGGATGGTTAAGTATCATTATAGTTATTTAAAACTCAAGAGGATGTTGTTGTGACTTACACAGTTTCATTTTTTTAATAGATGCTTGCACAATATATTGCACAGATCTCTTAGATGGTGGCATAAGGCACTATTCTGAGTCTATTATGTAATGAGCAATCCCTTGAGATTTATGAATCCTTTTCAGATGTGTTTGTTTTATGATTCTTAAAAAGAGGTTCATAATGCATATTAGTTTTGTTTTGTTTTGTTTTGTTTGACAAGTGGGCATCACAATGGGCCAGGTATTCAGGAAAATTCATTGGCACCATGCTATCTTTTCAATGAACTAGAAAAAGAAATTACTTAAACTACAAATTTCATGTTTCCTGCCACAAAATGACAGACTTTTTTTGGGGGGGGGGGTTCCAATACCAGGTATAAAATTAGTGTATCGTCATCATCATCATCATCATCATCATCATCATCATCAATTAATGGCACCTAACTCCCAGTCACTCTGGGCAGTTTACAATTGTTAAAAGTTTTAAAAAGAAAGAACAACAACTGTACAAGAGAAAATAACAATAATAGCAAAGAAAATAACGCCAGAGGGGAATAGAAAGGAAGAAAGGGGCATCGGTCATCCTCTCCAAAGGCCTGGGGCAAGTGCCAGGTCTTTAAGGCCCTTCAAATTGTGGAACCTCTTTGGGAGGAGCTGTTAGTAGGGGAGACACTGTTTGAATTTGGGGGGAACCTCATTCCAGAGGGCAGGTGCTGCCACAGAGAAGGTATGCTTCCAGGGACCCAATTGGTGGCATTGTTTAATCACTGGAACCTGGAGCACATCAACCCTGCCAGATGAATGGGTCAGGCAGATACTATGGGAGTATCAAGTAACCAGACCCCATGCCACATAGGGCTTTATAGATAGTGACCAGCACCTTGAATCGCACCTAGAAGCAAATTGGCAACCAGTGCAGCTTGCAAAGAGTTGCTACATAGACATACCAAGGCATACCCATCACTGCCAGACCCATTATAATCTAAACCATCTGAAGCTTCCAGGTGGTCTTCAAGGGTAGCCACATATAGAGTGCATTGCAATTATCAAGCAGTGAGGTGACCAGAGCATAAGTAACTGTCTAAAGAGTCCCCTGTTCTAGGAAAGGTCAAAATTGGTGCACCAAATAAAGCTGGGCAAAAGCATAAGTTGTGTCCAGGAAACCCCCCAAATTGCACACCATCCTTGAATGGGGAATTTCAACCGCATCCAAAGTCAAAGTCGGAATATCCCCAGATCTGGATGGTCCAAATACTAACAGCCACTCAGTCTTGATATGATTGAGTCAGAGATGGGTCCTTTCCATGCAAACCCACACAGTCTGCAGGCACAGGGACAGAACCTCAACAGCCTCACTTGGCTGGCTGCAGTCTGAAGACATAATTGGGTATCATCAGCATACTGGTGATATTGAACCCTAAACTGGAGAATGTTCTCACCCAGCAGTTTAATGTAGATGTTAAAAAGGAGGGAAGAGAGGATAGAACTCTCTGGCAGCCCACAAGCGAGGTGCCTAGGGGAAGACATCTCCCCGCCATCCAGCACTGCCTGGAACTTGCCCCAGAGAAAGGAAGAGAACCACTGTAAAATGGTGCTCCTAATCCCCAACCCTCAGACCCGGCTCAGAAACTGTAATGGTATGTGGAAATGACCTTGGGAGACTGGGCAAAGAGATGCTGTCAAGGCAACCATCAGATAAGAGACAGCATAGCCCACAGCACGATAGTGAGTGGGGCATATGGCTCAGAAAAGACCTCCCTAGTTTCTCAGGTTGTAAAGGAGCCTGGGGGAGAAATGTACTTCAATTTCTAATCTGTCAGTGTAGGTTAAGAATAACCCAACAGTGTAGAATTAGCTCATCTGGTTGTGTTTCCTATCTGGTTTGACCCACAAAGTCAACATCAAAATGGTGAGCAAATAAATTATTTAAAAAAAATGATGATGTGGAATATCCATAACTGTTCAGTATCAGGGAATCCATGCAGAAGGAATTTGACAACTCTTTACCGATTTTGAAGTGTTCTTCAGTCTTTTCCTTCTGTAGAAAGTACGCAGACCTCAGAGCTAGGTCTTCATATAGTATGCCCAAAATATGGTAATTTAAGCCAGGGCACTGTGCTCTGAGTTCTATTTGATTAGATAGATAGATAGATAGATAGATAGATAGATAGATAGATAGATAGAGTATGTGGTTACAGAGCAGAATCTAACTGATTAGTTCTACAATCCATTTGTTTTCTTGGCTATCCGTGGTATTCTCAGTAGTCTTCTCCAACAACACAGTTGAAAAGGATCAATGGCAAAACCATTGCCTGCACAATTCTGATCTTTGTAGATACATATGTATGCGTGCTTTTGTTTTGGTTCTTAAATTTTACATTTTTGAACATATAAAGACATGTTGTGCTCAATATGGACTTTTAAATGCCAAGTGGTCACTTCCCTATCCTAGAATGTGCTGACATGTTTACTGATTTATTATTGCGGTTTCCTTGTAAAATGATCTGTCCATTTAGAGATGATGGAGAAGGCCTTTACTTGTCCCTTCATATATTACTCTGAACATTATAAAAAAAAAATCTAAAAAAAAAAAGTAAACACTTTAAACCTAGGATGCTTTTAACTTTTAAGTTGCATGAAGGAAAAACATTCCAAAGAAATGAAGATGACCAGGAGAAATATAAGATAGGACCATGTCA